GGGACTGTCTTGTCAGACTTGGTCTCTTAGGATCATCCACAGGTACCTATACTGTAGATAGGTCTTAGTCATCAGGTCTACTCCACTTCCTTGTTGCCTGCCTAGACTCTTGGCACTCTTAGGTGAGCAGACTTAGTCAGCCTGTGTTGCCCTGACAGTATGCGCCTACAGGTCTGAGGAATCCTCAGGTGCTCAACTTGGTATTGTGCAGGTACTTCATGAGTATCTTGATCTACACAGACACCTTCAACTCCTGCTTCAGCAGCCCATGGACATGCAGCTACTGTTAACTGCATGCAACATTGTGGACCACTCACTAGGTGCAGCACATGTCCCTGCTCCACAGCATGGTCCTGGGGGGCTGCATGATATTGAGGAACCCAATGAAGAGGCAAACATGGCAGAATTGTTCAATGACTTGGCGGCTGACAGGGTGGCTGCCAGTGCATCACAGGATGAAGACGCATCCATGCATGATTCAGACAGTGAGGTGGAGGCAGAACTCTTAGAAGGTCATGCTGTATGTCATCATGTTCAGTGATGACTTATTCTAACTTGGATCAATTGCAGAGTGGGAACTTGACGGCTTCCAGTGACAGCAGTGATAGCTGTGACTGACATATTCCATGGATATCTGCAGTAGTTTTCTTAATACATCCAGGCTGTACCCAGTTGCAGTTCATGTAACATCTGGCAATGGATTTCCATTCAAGGTACACTCACAGCAGCCCAAGAAGGGGCTTCAATTTGTCTTTCCAATGACCTCTAAGAACAAATCCCACCACTGCCCAAATGACCATTTGTATGCTGCCAACAAGACAATCATAACCACTGTAAATGCATAAGCAGCTGTGCATTTCCATTTAACAGGTACTCACTGAGAATGACCAGGCATGCTAACTTGTGGTTGTGTAGGAAGCTGTCAGTTTCCACCAATAGGTGGAACAGTGATAGTAGAGCATTGCCAAACATTAGGTCAGACTGCATCCCCAAGGTCTGTTCTTGAGCCATGCAAATGAGATGGCAAGCCCAAGCTCCATATTTGTATTGCCGGTATGTCTTAGTGAAAAGTTCCATCCATACCTCTTGTCCCTTCATTGCCCCAACCTGTGTGTTGATTGCATCAATGATGGCTGCAGCTGCATGTTTGCATAACAGTTTGGCAACATCTTGGATTTCTTTTGGCAAGACACCCTCAACAGGGGATGGGAGATTAGAAGTAGTGTTGGGTACTGGGTTTCCAGCCATGACTAGGTCTGTAACAGTGGCCACAGCAGCTACTGCCAAAATATTGCCAGGACTTCCCTGGCATGGAAGTTAGCAAAATATGGCAGTTAACTCTCAAGGATAGGAGGAGACAGTTGTTTTGGGGGGGGACTTACACTGGGAGAGGAAAAGCAGTCCTCAGAAAATGCTAACTTCACACTATCCATCATCCATCCATCGATGTCACCTTTCCCCATTACCAGCCATTCAGCTGCAAGGATCCAACAGGCTACTTCATCCAGACAAAGCACTCTGATTTGCTCTTGTAAGGCAGCTGTCTGAGCATTTAGAGGCAAGGGTTGCAAGATCAGCAACAGTGTGTCCATTGTAGCAGCCACAGCAGGAGGCACTACAGTGGTGGGAGGATGATTGGAATGCTGATTGAGTACCTGCTGCTGCAGTTGGACCAGTTGCCATGGTGATCCAACCCAAGAGGTGTCCAAAATATCAGTCCAATGGGTGGTGTGCAAGAACTTGCTCGGAAAAGGGGGGAGAGATGGGGGAAGTCAGTAGAAATGTGGGAGTCAGCCTGTAGCTGAGCTATCAAAAGTCAGTATGCAATAATCGGAGCTTAGTGTCCATCTAGTCAAGTCACAATAAGTCAAGTCAAATCTGCCTATCCAGTGAGAGGATAATTGGATCTGTATAATGCTAACTGATAAGGGGCAGAATAAGCTACATACAGGAGTTTCTGGAAACTACTTATACTAGCTACTAAAAACCATACTCTATACTAGTCCGGTCTCTGGATACCTCTCCTAGGCAGGTGTTGGCATGCTGAATATCTGTGTGGGTCGATCCCATTGTGGAGGAAACCTGCTGTTGTCATGCCGAATATCCAGGTGGTCCTGTTGCCTGGGGAATCCTAGTAGTTGCCATGCCAAATATCCAGGGGGGGGTCAAGACTTGTTGCTGGGGTGCATTGTCCGCATAGTGAGGGTCCGTAGTGCTGTGCAACAGTCTCTAAGGCCTGAAAATAACTGTGGGAATACCGGCCTGACACACCCCACTGGAGGTGGGGTTGTTCAGCAGTTCTTTGATCTGTTGTCATTGCTGGTCCATCTGACGCTGCTGGGTATTGATCTGATGCTGTAAGTTATCAAGTTGGACTTGCTGTTGCTTGAGCAGATTGTGTTGGTGCTGAAGCTGCACCCTTTGTTCCTTCAGTTTGGACCCAGTGAAGCTGTTCAATGAGGGCCTGCTCACACTGCAGGTGCTTGTGCTCCAGCTCATGAAGGAGGTGAAGCAGTGCCTTCAGCTGACTTGACATGTCTTGGTCCTGCACATTAACTAGCTGGTCATGCGGAATCTGCTTTTGTGCCAGAGGTACTTCTTTGTCCAGCAGTTCTCCAGCAAGTGAGGAGATGTCCATTCACTTCATGGACAAGCTGCCAGGTGATGCAGCCAAATGTGCCGTTGCTGCAAGAACAGTAGACTCATTAAGATCTGCAATCATTGAAAGCATTGATAAAGCAGGCAGAGCAGTTCCATGCTCATCTGGACCACTCACAGCATTTGGCTGAACGCTGGAGGAGGGAGAGGACACAGTTGCAGCTGCAGCTCCTGCAAGTGGATGGGACAGCGCTACAGACAGTACTGTGCCAGCAGCAGTTGTTGTTGAGACTGCAGTACATGGGGCTGCAGAGGGTTCTGCCCATGCCACAGCTGCAGAAGTGACTGGACCAGCCAGCACAGCAGAGAGTAGTGAATCTGTCCCAGCCACAGGAGAGACTGGATCTGATGACTTTCAAGTGGAGGGTCTCCGTGGGGGTCCAGACAGTGCTCCAGAGGATGATGTGGTTAGAGCAGCAGCTGTGGAGATTGTAGCAAATGCTGCAGCAGATCCCACAGCAGTGTGCATCAGTGGCAGCTTCATGGATGATCACTTGAAGAGGTACTTTCCATTGATGCTGGTGGGACAAGTACTTGGGGGAACAGAATTAAGATGGAGATAGAGGGAGAAGAAATCAGTTTGGATCTGAGAAAAAATGCAGTGGTCTTGTGTTGCAGCAGAAAAACGGCATTCAATTTCCTCATGTCTGGGTCAAAGACATATATATCTTACCCCTTGATTGAGAAGAGGTGCCAGGGATCCATCATCTAGGGAATGCTGACATCTATTCTCTCTTTTTCATTCCAGCATAGGGCACATCTAATCCTTTCTAACTCCAATGCTGTTGTACAGTCTCTCCGGAACAGGACACCCTTGAATAAAGCACAGATATTTTGATTGAGACTGGAACATGAGGCATGACAATGGGCACTAAGATCACATGAGGAATGATGAAAGCAGGCTCCATCAGCAGATACAAAGCCTTCCCTCCCACATAATATGTCATGGTTGCTGTGGTGGATCTCAGCTGTACCTGTTCCTGTGAGTGTTATTCCTCCTGTTCCCTTCCATAATTCTGACTATATAGGACAGTGAGTCCGTTGTTGCTATCTGTTTGACCCACAATGCCTTCTACCATTCAACCTACAGGAAGTGCATTTGGTACATCTCTATGGTGGAAAGGAGACAGTGCTGTCACTAATACAACAGACACCAGATGCAAATGCAGCCAATGTAAGACATTCTTCCTGCACAGACACAGGCAACTCTGCAGCATTCACAGCCTCTCTTCCCACCCATCACATTCCTAGCAATGGACACAATGATGCCACCATTCACCATACCCCAACCAGTCTGCCATCCAGGGAACTGTCTTTCACATACCAGCCCAATGCATTCCTGTCAAATACTGCTGCTGACGCAGGTGAACACTGCTTTGAATATACTTCCAATACTGCAGCTGACGATGCTGCTGACCACGCAGCAGAAGGGTTGGAGGCAGAGGAATGGGTGCTGCCTGAATATGCACATCAGGACCTGCCTCCCTATCAGTGAATCAATCCGACCTTGAGCACTAACAGCTGGGGGAGTCTTCAGGCAAACTCCTGGGGTCAGCAGATCAAGAACATGCCCATTCTCACAGCTGCATCATCTGCCCTGGCTGCAGCACCTGATGTTTTAATTTCCAAATGCACAGGCCTCCAGTTCAGGCATGATGTGCCCTTCGAGCTTCTCACAGCTGAAGAGTACTTCCAGCATAAGAAAGCTTGTGCACAAGAGGCAAGAACTCATATTCAGTACCTCCACAAAGTTGCCAACTCCCAGGGGATTGTTCACCATGCTGGTGGGGACTATGCCAGTGTTCCACAGTCACCCATGCTGTCTGTTGCTGCAGACAACATGGCACCATTGCCTGCCCAAGAGACCTGGTCTTACTTTGGTTGGATGTCCTGCTGCAGGGGCCGCTGAAGGTAGCGCACTTCCACACCCTCCCCATCATTTATACACACTGTCTTTGTTCTGTCACATGTTGTAAGTCTTTAGGACCCCCCTTGCTTTGCTGGTGTGACACATGGATTTGTATCATTGTGACCATTGTATGCTGCATCATCAATTTGTCTGCACTGCACCTTTGAAAGTACCCTGCTGCATCTGTGGGTAACCCTCATGCTCAGCATGCTACACCATGCTCATGAGATTCCTGTTGTTCATACACCGCAGCCAACATGCTGTATGAACAAGTACATAAAGGAATCATGATAACTACATGTTCTTAATATTTGCATTGCAGTTGGTTGAATGGCTAGGGGTGCTGCAGCATGCCAGGCTGTGCTGCAGTGCAAAGTGTGGCTCCCACTTACAGGTTTTCTCACACTTAGTGATGAGTGAAAATGTGTGAGTAGATAATCTGGCTGTGTGCAACCCAACAAAGGGCAATAAGAAATCAGGACTGGTAGATGACGTGAATACTTCTGCTGCAAGAGGGGCTACTGCACAGCAACATACAGCTGCAGGGCAGAGTACACCATAATGTGGTGCCACAGATCCTCTCAAATGCAGCACCGAGGTGACTCTGCTTAAGGTGTCCTTGAATGATTTTACTGCTGAGATGCCATGCTGCAACATTCTAATCTGCTGCAATGTCTGCAGGGAACTGGGTGCAGAATCTACACAGGTGCAGCAGCAGCGCTGAATGATGCAGCAAAGGGATAAATGGCTGAGCTATGATCATTCAAAGAGAATAAAAGCAAGCACATCTCTACTACAGCACACCATATGTATCTAGGTGTCCATGCTGCAGCCACAAAGAACAAGACAGGAAACACATGTATTATATGCTACCCTGTCACAAGGTGTGCTACGTCCTCCAGGGATAGTCCTGCAGTGCTCGTAGCAAGTCACAGGCAAACACAATCTCATAGAAAATCAGCCCTGCCTCTTCCCTTTCAGCCTGGCTTTCTGCTCAATTGCCAAAGTTGTGCATCTCTTTTGATCAGATAAATAAATCTAATATTGCTTCCATTTTTCACTTGATGGGCTGCCAGTTGTGTCCTTGAAGAGCCAGGTCAAACTTATGCATTTGTTCCAACATCACAAGCTCCAGCATCCATGTTTGGCAAGCAATGAGCCGGTTGTAATCCTTGTTTGTAGAAAACTCAAGCATATCAGTCATTTGCTTGTTTTTTGTGGGCAAATGTTCTGGCCATGATGGCCAGTCATACTGTTCCTGATAAGTTTACTGCAGAGGGAGTAGGCCAGCTTACCACATCACCCATCAGCCCCACTATCATGTCCTTGACCACTTCAGTGAAGAGATTGGTGTTGTCTAATATTTTGCACATGAATGGCATGGCATATGGGACACCTTCATCAGAATGGAACCAATGCAGCAAGTTCATCCACCTGGTTTCAGGTGATTCACTTGCATAATTATCTTCTGTGACAAGGATAGGCAATAGGGGTGGTGGAAGCTACAGTGAGACATGTCATTACTGCGGTGTGGATGCAATAATGACAGTACATACAAATCATTGGATGACCTTCAGCTTCAGTCATTTCACCAAGTATTTTTCAGGAGCTGCAGCAGTGCTTGCTGCAGTGGTACCATTGACACTCATGGCCCCAGCCGGTGGAGCACTCCATGTTGGTGTGGACAGGCCAGCAGGGGCAGCAACTGCCTCAGTGACAGGGGAGGTGTGAGGGCAACATGATCCCACAACCATTGATGATCAAATAACCAAACAGGTGACAAGCAAATCAGAGAGTAGTGAGTCGTACATCAATCAATGCCTCAACATTTGTTCACAAATAGAGGGATCAACAGGGGTGTTATAGAGTGAGTGGGGATTGACAGCTGACAGGTACAATTGTGTGTGTGTCATGTGCACGTTTGGAATGATTATAGCTTTGTGTTTAGAACCTAATGACTTTGGACCATGGGGTTCCTAAAAGATTAGCTCTAAAGAGCTACAGGGGCTATACCTAGGGTTCTATATATGTCTAGGTATGGAAGTAAAAAGGAAGCAAAGTCTGTGGCTGACTATACAGCTCGTTTAGGGCAGGCACCTCATGTCTCTGGTCTGGTCAGTCCTGCACAATCTATGACTGATGTCTCACATTCTGGGATCTGTCCTTCCTGGAGTCAGGTGATTGTAGTATTGGCTGTCATTTGGGGTGTCATGCCCTGTGACTGTGCCCTGATCATTGTCAATTGCAGCTGTTTGCAATTGATTTTAGGGATGTCCCCTGACAGAAGGATTCACTGGCTCCTTGGGTCTCAGCCTCAGTCTCTTCCTGTGATGTGGCATGGGAGGAAGCTGTAACAGCTGAGGGACTAGCTGCATTTGCTGCATAGGATTCCCGATCAGCTTTGTCCACTGCCTCATTTATTGCAGCATTGACTTTGGCTTCAGCTAATGTGGCATTCAAGGCTTAGGCTTCACTGCTGGGCAAGCTCAAGAAAAGGAGTGCATTGGCGGCTGCGTGAGGAACTCCTTCAACTGGCAAAGTAGCAGTAGCAGTTGCCATTGAATGGCTAGCTGGACTTGGGGAAGCAGATGCTGACTGGGTCCCATGGCTTTGGGGTGGCGTACCAGGTCTAGCAGCAGGTTGATCCCGGTGTGCTGATGTGCCTGGGGTTTGTTGAGCAACGTTGAAATTGCTTTCTGGAGTGTCAGGAGAATGTGGTGAGCAGTCTTCGTGATGTGGTGTTGTATGCTGCGGACTGCTGGCACCTGAAGATGGACTCGCCATTTCTCCTGCCACTGCTTCTAGGCTCCGTCACTTCACCTGCAATTGATATGTTGTGACGACCTTGTGTTGTTTGGTCAGAGGACTGTCAACTTCCCCAGTTGGTGATTGAGATCACTTCTGCTGTTCTTGCTTGCACTGCAGGAACTGCGCCTGCAGCACAAGCAGCTTGTTTACCTCTCAATGCAGCTGTGCTTCCGGCTGTTGGAGGAATTCCATCAATTTCTCTGCTGACTGCTGCATATGCTGTTGTATTGGGTCCTGCAGCTTGTCCTCCAGCTGTGGAGCCTCATGCAGCAAGGGCGGTTGCAGCTCCTCTTCATGCTGTTGCTGTCCCTCGGAATTGACTTGTTGTTGCCCATGTTGGGGATGCAGTTCATGGAGAGGCTTGTTGTGTCCCATGTGTTGCTGTATGCCATGTGCAGCATGCAATGTGTTTCTGCCAGCTTGATCTGACAACTGATCCTCCTTGTTTGCGTCATCCATAGCAGGTCGTTACATTATTCCAAACGGCATGATTGTGGGAGCAGCAGCCTGTTGTTGTTCAAGTTGTTGCTGCTGACTGGATGGTGCCAGCTCAGGCTGAACGAGCAAAGGAGGACTGGCATGCCGAGTTTCAAGATGCAGCTCCTTTTGTTGAAGGTGCTGCGCAGACTGGCTCTCCAAAGTGGTGCTGCCAGGTATTGAGGTTCTGCATCCAGGTGACCATGGCTGCCTTGACTGAGACTGCAGCAAGAGGAAGCTGTGGAGCACAGGTAATCTGCCCTCATGGAAAGCTCTATTTCCCCATCTCAGCGTCAACTCCTCATACTCATTCTCGGAGCTGTTGAGGAAAGAACCATGTAGCCCACCTTGCTGCCAATGTTCTTCCGGTATGCAGGAAAGTGCTTTCCCATTGTTTGAATCTTGCATGAAAGGCTGCTGCAGGGGCTTCAGCTGCGGTGCCTGTTGGAGCTGCCGCATCCAGTGGGGCTGCAGCATCTGGATGGGCTGCCATGTCCAGGAGGGCTCCAATGGCTGGATGGGCAGGATGGGCAATATGATGTCAGTAGCATGATTGTGAGGCTGTCCTTTGTGATCAGGCACCATGAGCAGAGACTATATATGCATCCGGTGGGCAGTAATCGGGGTGTTGTCCTGGTGGATAGAGAAGGACATGAGATGGGAATTTGAGGGGAATACCGCAGGATCTACAATCTTCCAGCATGTGAACTTTGTCTACATCACAAGTAAGCAAATATGGAATGGTTTTCGGACATGGTCTTACCATGATAACTGCAGTCAAATGGTTGTCCCCACCAGAGACAAGCTATGCAAGGTTAGGTTGGGTGCAGCAATGGCTGGAACATCACTTACATAAGGTTGATTCCACTTGAAATGCTGGCTTCAGGTGGAAACATAGCATTCAACTGGTGTTGAAGTACCACCCCCACAACTGCATTTTGAATGGCCAATTTGCCTCATGTGTCTCATTGATTTCACCACTGGGGGTGAGCATATGTTCAGAGAAGCTTTGGATCCGTGCATTGAGCTCAGTGTTGTACAGTGAATGATTGCAATCTGGTTTGCTGTCTTGTGCCATTGCAGGTCAAGAGGGGAAAGGCTGAGGTGGTAGCAGCCACTGTTGATGGTGGTCTGTTTCTGCATGACAGTTGAGGCCCAACACCACAGCTAAGGCTTGCAGCATTAGAGGGGACTTCTCTGCCTCTGCCTCTGCTGCTGCACTTAATGCAGCCAATGGTAGGATGGAGACACATCAAAGGTACTGTTTGTTCTTTGCTTCCAGTCTGGGCTTGCAGCGGAACTGTTGCTGCTGCAGCCAATGAAAATGAATTACCATGTGATAGACCACTATGCGTTCTTTGCTTCCATTGGTGCTGCAGTGTGCATGGTTGCAAGGGCCAATCAAAGGCCAGACATGCATCAAGGCCAACAGTGGCAACCAACCTGGACTGACTATGCTAGCATACTCTGGGTCGGAAAAAAAAGGTATAAAGGCATGCATTTTCAGGACAGATATGCTGCAGACTTTCACAGAAATGGCCCCCAGAAATGTATGACCCTCAGGTTGACTGGCTTCACCCTAACTCTGACTGACACTCCTCACAGAAGAACCAGCAACTGCCCATGTCCAAAGGAGGGGGGGATGGTACCACTTGCCTCCCCACTGCCACTGTGTCTGCTCTCACTGAAGAAACAGACACAGGTTCGCTGCTACAGACTGGGGGAAGGCTATCAAGCAGTCTGTGGCTGGACAACAGTCTGCAACATGAAGACAGCCCCTCAATGCTGCAACTGCAGGGACTGACTCTCGAAACACTGCAGAGCAGGCCTGCCACCCCAGCCCTGCAATATGAAATCAATGAAGTAGACCTGGATGAAATGCGGTTTGGAGAAGCTTGTGAGCTTGCCGGTATGGAGCAGGAGGAAGAAGTACCCAACAAGGAAATCAAAATCGATGAGATTGAGAAGGACAAAATGTTGGCAAACAGTTACTTAGTTCGTGCAACTTCATCTCAGGAGGTTGACCTGTTGGACACCCAGAATTCCTTAGATGCAGAGCTGGAGACAGCTCTGTTCAACACACTTGGGTACCTCAATCAGCGTGCCATCACTATAAGCGCTGCAGATGCTGCTGCTGCTTCTACCCCTGCCACTACCATGCTGCTGTCTGCTGCAAATTCTGGTCCTGCAGCTTCTGCTGCAACCACTGTACATGCCGCTGCAGCCACTCTTGTGGCTACTGCTCCACTTGCTGTCACTCAACCCAACCAAGATGTGGTTGCCTCCACTGCAACAAACACCCTCGTGCTTGTAACAATGCATCGCAATGCATCTGGTAGCCCATGTACTAGCCTGCCCACAACAGTGTCACCCATGACCGCCTCAGCTGTGGACTCCATATGGGAGACAATTTGGCAGTCAGCTGCTGCACCTCCTCGAGGGACCAATGTGCCGGCTATCTGCATTCAGTCCCATCCACTGCTGCCTGCATTAGACGATCCATGTGAATGTCTCCTCACTGTGAAACAGAGGCTGGCGCAGGAAGGGGCAGAGCTTGTTGTGCACAAGACAACCAAGCCAGGACGTCCATCTCTCCAGGAGGTGGAGGACTTGTCCTTATTCACCTCCACCATCACCAAGCTCTCCAACTTCCTGAAGCACTGCTACAGCACAACCCTGACACGTCTTGCTGATGCCCTGCCACATGATATTTGCACTGCTCCAGCTACCCATTTCTCAAAGAGTTCCAACGCTTGGAATGACTAGCAAGCCTGCTGCATGAAACAGCACCCAGACTGGGATGATTCCTGGGTGAAGAGTGAATGGGCACACTTGAAGGAGCCTTGTCCGCCAACATCAGCACTCTGGCCACAGCTGTGCAATGTTCTCCATTCACATGCAGCACTGGTTTCAGGCCGAAGCGAGAACCTCTCAGTGCCTGATAATGCAGAACATGCTGCAGCAGCACCTCATATGCAATTTAACAATTATGCTCATGCTGAACAGTTGGAGATTTCTTGGATGGAACAGCTTCAGATCGACAAAGTCATTTTTTTGGTCTCTTGGAATTCACAAGATGGCCCCCAATATGCACATTTCATCTCGTCCACTGGTGCTGCCACTTTCTTTGATATTGACGCATGACCTGGCGGATTGCAGAAAGCTGTAGATCTCCAGTGGTACATGAAGTAAGTCATTTTCCCTGGATTTTGAGGAAACTGTCTGATGTGTGACCAGGACACTCACCTCAGTGAAGGAGAGTTATTATCAGACCATCTCACTGTCATCTCCCCCAGACAATCTTCCCGTTTACTTCAACCTCCCACCTGGCTATATCCCATGTTGAGCACACCCAGGTGCAGCCTGGTTCCAGGCAGGAGCTACCAACACTGCAGCCCCTGTCCCTGCTGCAGCCCACTATCATGCTGCAGCCCACTGGCACGCTGCAGCCCACTGGCACGCTGCAGCCCACTGGCATGCTGCAGCCCACTGCCATGGGTCATTCACCCCTGCCAGCATTGGAATCCAGCAACCCTGAACCAGAAGCCCTCTCTAGGAATGCTGTGTCAGGGATCGTTCAACAGTGTCAAAGCCTTGACAATCAGGGTGACCCTGACAGTATGCCCACCACCTTTGTGCAGTTCTTGCCATGGAAATCAAATGCATCAAATGTATCGTCCTCCCTGCTGCTGCACATGCAGCAGGCTTGCAAGAACAAGGGCAACACAGAAGATCCTGGTGTGGATAGTGAGATCCCACTATGCACCAGCTACTACAATCTCCTGGAGAACATGCACAATGGCATGTCAAAGGCAAAGTTCAACAAGACACCATTCTCAAATTAGGAGGCTTATCAGTGGATGTGGAGGGAAATGTCGCAAATGAACCACAATATTATCAGGATCACTGTTGTTATGGAGATCTGCAATTACATGTGTAAGCATATCCTCATTTCACATGCTACATGACCTGATTTCTGCATAGGCTCATTTGGGATTCTGAAAGTGGACCCAAACGCCAAGCTGCAGCTGAATTCTTGGATGGTGCCTAATCCAATCAAGCATGGGCTGCGATGGGAAGGCTGGCCTGTTGGCAACAGCTCTGCTCCACTGTGGAAGGGATTTGGTGCCGTCAACAGCCACAAACCCAAGATGGTGGTGAACATGCCTGTTTGGCAGCAATGAGATGTGCTTTGGGCCCTCTATCAGGGTATCTTACAGCTGGTTCCCTTTGCAAAAGGTATGCTGCAAACCCAACACATGCAGAAAATGCTGATCAGTCATCAGGTGGCTACAGAACAGGCACACTGGTCTTTGACTGTTTCATTCCACCATTGGAGAATGCTCTAGAGAATGTGGACATTGTGATGATTCCAATGACATACTACAAGGAGGAGTACAAACATGCCGTGGATCTTGCCAAGGTACAGCATACCTTGACGCCATCTACAAAATGCTGAGTGAAGCTTCTCTGCAAGGACCAGGAAGAACTGCTTAAGAAGGCAGAGGAATGAGGAGACACTCCAGCTGCAGCTTTGCATGCTGCTGCCACATCTACTCCCACTAGGCACAATCCCCCTTGCCATACTCATGCTTCTGGCTTCAAGGCATCTGGTGAAGACTGGGGGGATACCACAGATCCTGAATTGGATGATGAAGAGGTGCAGTCACATCACCTGTCTTACTATGCCATGGACAAGGATACATCAGATGATGTGCCTGCCTGTCAGGGCACCAGCTCATTGGTTGGTCAAGAGAAATGACTAAGCCTTTATGACATGGAAGTAGCTGGTATACCTTGGCA